ATGCTCACTGTTGCTGCTGCGCTGGAAAAAGACAGCGACGACATTGGAATATTAGTATCTGCTTGACTTTTTGAATAGTACTAGTAGAACATTAATATGTGAAGTTGAAGCACGTGAAATTGCCACTTCTATAGCCCAAATGGGATTGAATATAAGAAATTTCATATGGTTCAAGTTAATATAAATGTGTGTGGATGGATGTGTGTGTGTGTACATATACGCAAGACACATATATCTGCTCTTTTGATATTTCATAGTAATATAATGTAATTGAGAGAACTGTGATTTTTTTCTATTTCTTATCTCTCTAGCAATAAGCATCCCGTTCCTGATGTGAAGACATGAGAGTCAGAAGACTCGATGCCATCACCAGTTACATTTGTAAACATAAAGACAGGCCCTGATTTGGCCCTATGAGAATATAATCAGAAGTTGACATAGGGCAAGGTCACTGACCGGTACAGGGCTGCTGGGTCCAGGCAGAGATGAAGGGTCTTGTGTGTTTAGGGAAGTGGACCTAGGGAGACTTCTGTATAATTTTACTCAAAGGTTTGAGATGCCCTGGAAAGAGATTCTTTTTAGCAGTTTATACTGGCAATAATTTTTATGAATGTTTGAAAATTTAAAATAACACCTGCCCAATAATCTCAGGGGCAGCTGATGTGGTGGAATGTTCTAGTATAGTTTCAAAAGAAAAAGGTGAGATAAGTCAGGGTTGGAAAACTTCTATGAATATAATAAGTGAATTCCAAAATGCGTAATAAAATAATGGCTCCAGGTAAGAACAATCAAAATTACCACTGATTAAAAAGTCCTCATTCTTATTTTAATTCATGTACTTACATCTTGTTTTTTTCCCACATCCAGCCAGGATAACCAATCAAGTGCTGCTTTAAACATGTTTTTGATGGAGAAAACGATAAATTTTCATTGTAAAAAAAATCAATGAAATATAAAAGAAGAAAATAAAAAATACCAGTAATATCATCACTCAAAAAGTACGATTGCAGCATACCCAGACACACAGTTTTAAAAATGTTCAAAACCTCCATCATTCTACACCTTCTGCTACCAACAATTTTTTTTTTTCATTCAGTGACATTGACACGTCAGGGACACCTTTCCAAATCAATAGATAAACAGTTATTTATCTCTTAAAAGTGACTACGTAGAATTCCATTGCAGCTTTAGCCAATCAGCCGCCTGCATGTGGAGACCGCTACCAGTCCTGCTTCTGTATACCTCCCTGAGATAACCAATCTTATCACACGCGTCTTTGTGTGCTTGTTTGATTATTCCTTAGGATTCATTTCTCCAGGTGGAATCTATGAGTCAAAGGACAGGGCTTTTGTTCTGCATTGCCAAGTTGCTCTCTAGAAAGGCTATTCCAATTCACAGTCCCATTAGTGTAAATGCTGATTTACCCTCACGTAGGGATGATCAATATATTTCAACTTTGCCAATCTGATAAATGTGAAATTATGGTCTATAAGTTCTGTCTTGCTGGTACTTACAGAGATGCCAAATAAAATAGCACCCCTTTCAGCCTTAAAAAAAAAAAAAGACTCGGGCCCTCCCTGGTGGCGCAGCGGGTTAAAGCACAGCACTGAGAATCTGAGGCCACTTTCGCATGAGTTCGATTCCCACTGCCGCCTGCCCCGGAGGCGACCACATGGCGAGGCAGACCTCTCCTGACCCGCCCGCTGCTCCCCTCAGCAGTGTACTTCGTCGATCTGCCTGTTCTGCTCCCCACTCTGTCTCTGGTGAAGCCTCTCACCGCCCCTGAGCCTCTGGCCTGTACCCCAGTTCTGTATGAATAAATAAATAAATCTTTAAAAAAAAAAAAAAAAAAAAAAAAAAGACTCTTCTTTGCATAGAAGAGCTGGCATGCAAGCCAGAGATGCCTGGTGTGAGAGGATTCACTAGAGACAGAGTGGGGAGCAGAACAGGCAGGTTGACTGAAATACTCTGCTGAGGGGAGCAGCTGGCGAGACAGAAAAGGTCTGCTGCATCACATGTGGGTCAGCTCCCTGGCCGGGGCTCGAAATCAGGCTGCCACAGCCAGGCTGTCGCAGGGGGTCTTCGCGGTGGAAGTGCCTAGACCTAGACCAGGGAGACCCTCTTTCAGTTTTCCTATAAGTGACTCGCATTTCCTCTTCCATGAATCGCCTACTCAAAAGTGTCTTTTGCTCATGTTTCTACTTGTCTATTCCTCTTTCTTAATGGTTGTAGGAGCATTGCACATCTCAATGATGCTCTTCTTTCCATTGTTGTCTCTATTAAAAAAAATATTTTGCCCAGTAGTTCATTTATTCCTTAATTGTTTCTGACTCTATTTGAGAATGCCCAGGGTTGACATTTTCATGTGTTAAAGCAGTTAACTTTTTCTCAAGCATCTCAATCTTCAGGGTCATGCCAGGAAAGCAGCACATTCATCTGTAGTTTAGTTTCCCAGCCACAATGAAGTATGTTACAGTTACTGCTCTCTTTCCCCTCCAAATCATGTTTCTTGTTACATTCCAGAGGTTCTGGAGTGAAGGCATAAGGAACACTGGAAGTCAGAGCAGAGGAAACATGGCTATTATTAATAATACTTGACATTTCTATTTTCCATGTGCTGTACAATCACTAATTAGTCCCTCCCTTAGCTGAGCCCTGGTCGCCCTGCTGTCATTCTTTACCCAAGGACACTGAGGCACAGCACAGGGAAGGCGCGGCCTTCCATTTGGTGAGCGCCCCTCTGTGTGCCAGGCAGACCTTAAATCCAAGCTTCAAGCATCTGACTTCCCATTTATGCTTATCAGGTGGGACAATTTTCTTCCACGTAGACTGGCAGACCCCCAGATCCTTCTTTACACAAAATGTTAAGGGAAGGATGTCCTAAAGGAACTCTGCAGAGTCTTGTGGACTCCACCCCCTACTCCAGCTTTCTGGACTCTGCCCCCTACTCCAGTGATTGGAAACTACAACTCCCAGCAGTACTAGGGAGAGAACTGCGAGGACCTAAGGGCAGAGTTAAGCAGGAATTCTGGGACACTGGGGGATAAATAGGGCTCCATTTCGTCTTTGGCGCTCTCGCTTGGGAAATGGCTCTCAGGACTGCGTGACTCCGGGCTTTCAGTTAGTTTGTTACCTGAGCTCCAAGTTGGCCAAGCGGGTAAGATATTTCAGTTACTTTGTATCCCGCTCTCTTTCCCTGAGTTGTTTCCTTTTCTTTTCCCCTTTTGTAAATAAACCGGTTATTGACCCTTTTGTGTGCGCCTGCAGTACAACTGAATTTTCAGGGCGCGGGTGAAGCCCCAGAGACAGGCGGCCCACTTCACACTGGGGTGCCCTGTAACAAAAACAGTTAACCAAAATCTATATTCTGGCATGGAATAAGGACAGATAATAAGTGGTAAAGTGTACAGTGTATTAGAGCGCAGAGACCTATTAGTGGACCTAGGAAAGCATATGCTGTGTGACCTTGGGTAAGTCACTCACCCTTTCTGGAACTCAGTTTCCTTCTCTGCCAAAGGAGGGGGTGTGTTTCCTTCCAACGTTTGCATTCTATGGTCTTAAGGTTAAATAATCACTGTAAATGTTGATATTCCTCAAAATGATGCATCTGTAGTCACTGAGTTCTGTTGACTGGCTGTGCATCTTCAGGAACTCATCCATCACATCCATCACCTACAGATGGGGTCTTGCAAACCCTCATTTGGCTACAACTAGTAAAATAAGCCTGTTCTCCCTGAACATGAGAGCCAGAACTTGCACTATGACCCTACAAGTTCATGGTGTTGGCATAGAACCCACATCAAGGCTTAGCTGGGAGCGAAAGCGAGGAGCAGGAGGCACTTGAGTTGGTCTGGGCCTTGAGAGGGCACCAAGAAAGATGGTGCACGAGTGGCCAGTGGAGTTATGGTGCCAAGGCAAGCTGGGCAGATTCTGCAGTGGGGACATTTTTCCTTTTCTGTCCAAAGGCCTCTGAAGAGTCAGGGTTGCAGGCTGGATCATTGGCCCTCATCCTTGTCCTCGCCATATCTGTGAAATGTGTCCACTGTTGTGTCCTCACAGACCCTGTGATATCACAACGTCCAAATTCAGTAAACCACCAAGTGCCCCTGCAGACCGATCTCCCAGGCATTGCGTGTGATCTTTGAACGTTCCTTCCAGCGTTATGGGCCTTCCTATGGTGGTCTCCTGCATTTCCTTCAAGGCGGAATGATCAGAGGCACTAAGTGGTCACACACGCACACACACACTCATGCACACGCACGCTTTATTCAGAGCAGAAGAAGGCAATTCAGTGAGCCCAGGTAAACAGTAAATTGCACGTGCTCCCTGCAAAGTGGCTCCCCCATAATGGGCAGGGTTGAAAGCAGGGCTGTTTTCTGTGGGTCCCCTTGTAGCTTCACATCTCTCTCTGCCCATTAAGTGAAACTGGAACAAGCCATTTGGGTGACTGCAGCCACATCTGGCTGAAGTGCCCAGCTGTTGCTCTTTCCTCTCTTTGGTTTTCAGTCCCCATGATGTGGACTCATTACTGCTGTGATCGTTGCTGATGACATTAATGCACGGAGCTGCCTCTCCAACGCACGTGCCATCTGCTCCCATCAGCCCTGTGGGGTAAGTGGTAGGTAATTGTTTCCCATCGGTAGTCCATTTTCTCAGATAAAGGATGCGAGATTCAAAAATAAACACCCACTCTGACTCATTGCGATGAGGCCGGCGTGGATCGGGGGGCAGCCACCCCATCTACCACAGGGACTGGGTGAGGCCACTCTCCCCGTAATTCAAGTCAGAGGGCAATTTGATTCATTAAGTGGCTCTGGGAGAAGAGGAGATTCAGGGAGAGAACAGAGGGGGAAAATCCTTGAGAGTTCTTATAAACCAGCAGGGTCAGTGCAAAAGAGAAGGGGAGAGATGGAGAGAGAAATTGGTGATTCATCAGTGAAGGCGCGCCAGCGGGTGGGAATGAAAGATAGGGGTCCGGCCGTTTCAGCAGCAACCGAGCCAGGGCCCTGCACCTCTGCTTCTCAGCTACGGAAAGCTGTGGCTTTGACTCACTCAGCGAGGACCACAGGTTACAGATCAGAATTGAAAAGGAGACTTGCCAAGAGCGCCAGGCAGGGCTCAGAAGGTGGGTAAGCACAGCGTCTCGGTGGGGGTGGGGTGATGCCAAAAAGGGAGAGCAAGGCCAGCGAGAAATGTGATTCAGCTGTATCTTCCCGAGATGTCAGGAGAGCCTTTTTTTTTTTTCTTTTTAGGCTATTGCTCCCCGTGGCTCACTTTTAACCTGTTTTCTCACACAGAATTCCTCCCTTCAAAGCTCATCGCCATGTACATTAGTCATCCTATTCAGCAGATATTTCCTATGCTCCTTTTGGAGGTTCCGTTCTCACTGGGAGGTTGCTTTGGGCCTTTGGAGCTGGGCAGACCCAGATTCGTTACCTTGCAAATCTGTAACCCCTTTGAACTTCTGGGTCTCTGCAGTGGGGTAATTGTCCCAATTTCCTGTGATTGGCTTGAGAATCAAATAAGAGCATGTGCTGTGTGGCTCGGGCCAGAGGCGTACAGGCCCTCCATAAACATGGCGCTGGGACCCCCACATCCCTCCTCACATGCAGGGAAGCACCACTAACCCTTCCAGCCAGCCCACTTCTCCACCAGCGGGGCCTGCTACCTGGCATTGGGGCATCAGGAGCTCAGGCCTTGATTTCATACTTCTTATGCCCATCTGTTGGTTCCGCTCTTGGGAATTGATCCATCCCTCCATGGGCTGGGTGGATGGGGCAGGAATTTCCTTCCCTGGCCTTTGTAGGGTGGTTGAGCTGGTCTTGGGGGGTCCAGTAACCTGCCTGCCAAGTCATTGTTCCTGAGCTAGAAGGAGATTCCCTAATACCAGGCTTGCTCCAATCACAGGCCGTCCTGCTAATTGATTCATGTTATTTTATTTTCTGTACCGGTGGTTAGGGCCTCAAGCAATTTTATGCAAATTTATGAACCTTATGCAAATGAGGGCATCCCTAGACTAATTGCACTCAAAATGGAAGCTTTGTGGGCACCTCCCCCATTCAAGTGTGCCCTGACTCCTTCTCATCCTTTAAATTATTTCCAAACTCCCCCATTTCCACAAGCCCCCAAGAGCAGCAGCCTACTCCCAGTCTCCCCAGTTGTGGGCTACCCAGCTGCCATTCTGGAATATTGGAGGGACAGCTCAAGGACCGGAGGCTGCCTGGTGTCCGAGAAAACTGTAGCCTTGGGGGATACCTTTCCCAGCTTGTTTTTATTTGAAGTCATTTAAATCCTATCTAGCTCCTTCTGTCAATCCTCCAAGAGCAGGAAGACCAGCCCAAGAAGCCTGCAACCTGCCAGCCCTGCACAGAGCCTGACAGGGCCACCAAGTGAGGACAGGGCTGTATGGGGCTTCCCATCTCCAGGAGGCCCCGTCCCCAATCTTAGGTCCATTCTTGGTCCCAATACACTGGCAATTAATCCTAGGAAGGTGTGGTCTCTGGCCAGATGTTGTAAAAGCAGAGACAGGGATGGAAATGTAGGTATAACTGATCTGTTGGTGAGGGTGGGGGGCTTTCAAGCAGGATAGAACAGGGGAAGGCTGAGAAAATGGGGCTCCAGCTGAAGTCTTGATGCTCTCGGAACTCTGAGATAACCGACCTTTAGGTGAGCGGGTGGAATTTTGTATTTCCCCCACTTAGACAGTCTTCAGTTGGCAGTACCCCAGGGAACAGGGCCTCCCCCATCTGAGAAGGGGTCACACACGAAGCAGGGGACATCAGTGCCCGCCTAGGTGGGGCACCAAGGGCTCTCCGCAGGCACTAAATGGAATGCCGGGCCACGTCTGCTGAGACAGAGGCCCTACATAGCTTTCTTAGACTGTTTGTTTAACCTAAGTCAACACCAACATCTCTGTAAAGCAAGTATTGAAATGATCCCCATTTTGTGAGGAAATAACTACTTAGGGCTCAGGGCAGATGGCCGCTTGCTTCCAAGGTCATAGGACTATGAACCTTCTAGACAGAGGTTCTTACAACGTGAAACTTCTGACCTTCCTGTAGGTCTGCTCAACTGGGCGATGGGCCAGGACTTTTGTCTCCAATCACTTAGATGTCCAAGGTCAGGACGTGCCACTTCAGAACACATGTACCTAGCTTTTCTGAAGAAACCTCCTTCCCCATCCTCCCTCTTGTTGGGTCATTTTACAATACCCTTCATAGCAGTGTGTGCATGTGTGTGTGTGTGTGAGAGAGAGAGAGAGAGAGTCTGTGTGTGTGTGTGTGTGTGTGTGTGTGTGTGTGTGTGTGTGTGTGTGTGTAGGGGAAATGTTGCCAGGGTGTGGGGTTGGAATTACAGGACACAGAAGCAGAGCTTTAACTTTCCCATCCAGTCTCAATCCTTCCTGGCCCCTCTGTTCCATTTCACCTCTCGCCCTCTTCCCTCTCCCTTCCCTTCTCTTTTCAGCCCCCTTCCGCCCCCCTTCACTCCCCACCTTTACCTCTTCCCTCTTCCCTCACCACCTTCTCTTCCCTCTCATCTTTCCTACCCGCCTTTGTTTCCCTTTCCTCTCCATAACCCTCCTCTCCCTGACCCCCTTGCGGTCCCCATTTCCCCTTCCTTTCTACCCCGTCTTACCTTTTGTAATTTCTCCCTCCATTTCCATCCTTGCTTCCTTCCCGCCCACCCCCTTCAGCCCTGGCCCTCCACCCCTGCCTCCTAGTGGGCAGTCACCTTCGCCCTGGCCTAGAAGGAGCCAAGGTCTGTGTCTCTCAGCACGGATAAGCAAGCTGAAGTGCTGCACAGGCTCTGGTCTGTTCCATGCTGTTCCACCACATCATCTCTTCGCAGGGCACTCCTCGCTCTCCCCTGCTCACTGGTGGGGGGCACTAGAGTGGAGGCCAGGGAGGCACAAATCCCCTGGGTCCTTGGTGTGCTGTACTGTCAGGATCCAGGGCTATGAGAAGCTTGAGCAGGCCTGGGTGGTATCTTCCACCTGGGCGTGGAAATCTAGAAAGGCGGTGGGGGTGGCACAGAGGGAGAACTGCGTGGAAGATGAGAGATGCTACAGGAGATCAGTTTGTCTTGACTCTGGTAAGTCTGCCACTAGGCAGCAGGTGCCAGAGCTGTCTAAACTCATGGCACTCTGTATGAAGAACAAGGCCTCAGGCCTTGACCACTCACTTTGGTCTCATTCTTGCTGTGCTGGGCCAGTGTTGCCCCTGTGCGCTCCCCTCCATTAGGCCTCACATGGTCCAAAAGAAACTCCCTTCCATTACTCCTTCCCAGCTTCCCCTCTGCCCTCTGAATCCTCTCAATCACCTTCCTAATGCCTTTTCTACCTTGGCCCTTTTCCACACTTCTGAATTTTCTTCCTGGTTGCATGGTTGGAATTTGTCTACTCAAACAGATTCCATAGTATCTTACAAGAGCTTGCATCTCCAACTTCCCATCGTTTAAGAATTGCTTTTACATAATATTTGTATGAATACTCACTCTAAGAATTAGTAGGTAGGAGGCAAAGTAGCCATTAGCTCCATTTGCAAATGAAGAAAATGAAGCTGCAAGGGGAGTGGAGCTCCATGGAATTCTTATGGCACGTGACCTCTCAGGTGCTCTAAGAGGATGTGCCTGCTGTGCACTGCACAAGCATTCTACATTCAAGAGAACTATTTAAATGGGAGCTAATATGCTCACATATGAGAATGTCTAAGGAGAATGTCTCCATGCCCTGCTGTTTAGACCCTCAGTTGGAAAGACTAGATTGCTGGGGGTCACTCAATGACTGAGACTGAGGCCATCTGAAAGTTGGTTCTCTCATGTATGTAGAACCTAGGCTGAGCTAACCTCAAACTTAGGGCAGTCATTGGATAGCCTGGACTTCCTCACAACATGGTGCCTGGCATAGGCAGACAGTGTATGTGGCAGATCAGGGCTGCAGGTGCAAGTGATCCAGTGACAAGCTGGCAATGGCATCACCTTTATGAGCCAGTCTTGAAAATCAGTGTCATTTCTACTGTACGGCATCAAAGGAATCCAGGTGAAGGAAATTAGAGAAATGTGAGGAGAGTCAAGTTCATTTTGTAGGGGAGCATGTGGAATGGGGTATACTATTGTGACCATGAGGACTAGTTTTCTCTGCTGCTTCACAAACTGCCACAGACTTTGCGACTTGGCTCCTGAGCATTTTCACCATTTCTCTGGGTCAGAAGTTCGAACACAGCTTACCTGTCTCCTCTGTCATACCCTGTGATGCTACTGACACAGTATCAACCAGCTTGGGTTTCTTGATGGGGCTCCTCTTAAAAGCTCATGGAGTTGTTGGCAGAATCAGACTTCCCACCTGTGAAAGGCCTGTACTGAGCAGTGTAAGTTTAAGGGTCAGTGGCAAAAGGTACTTAGGAGAGCAAAAAGAACTATATAAATAGTCCTTATTATCTTCCAACTAGACTGTAAAATCCCCCAGGTCAGGGACACTGTATTATATCTAGAACAGGACTAAAGACATGACTGAATGTCAAGAAATGCGGTCAGCTGGATGCATTGAGTATGCATACATAGGTGAGGGGTAAAGACCTGAACTACAGAGATTCTGAGAGGGTCAGGGATATGAGGAAGGAGATACCCAGCTGTGATAGCCACTGTTACTAATACACGCACAAAAATTGGTCATGGGCATGAAAATAGGAATTTTATTTTGTCTCCTTATTCTTGAGGAAAATCTGAAAAGGCACAGTATGGTGGTTACCACAGGGCCTTTGAGGTCAGAGAGATTTGGATTTGAATGCCAATTCCCTCCTTTTCTAGTTGAGTGGGCTGGGCAAGTTACTGAACCTCTGAGTTCAGGTTGCCCATTGGTGAAATGAGGGTTGTGGGAAGAGTCAAGATGTGTGTGAAATGGCCCACATGGCCATGTAGATATCTGTTTAACATCAGCTGGTCTTGAAGTCTACATAGTGTGTTGCCTGATTCAGATCCTGACAGCACCAACTTCCTGGCTGTGTGACCTTGAGCGAATTATGTAATGCCTCTGGTTATATAAAAAATAGGCAAAATAAGGATAATAATTTCATATGCTTACTAGAATAGCTGTCAAGAATAAATAAGCTTATATATACAGATACATAG